GAAGGGCAGTGGTATTGACTATGGCCTCGGTCAAAAGGAAGACAGCGAAAATCGTAAGTATCGTCATCTCGAAGCCAGTGTTGTGCAAAAAGTCGACTGTCCAGCCGTAGGAATCCACGACGAAACGGTACTCAGACCGAAGCTGAAGCCAAAACGTACTGGGGAGTCCTCTTCTGTCATAAAAAACTACAACGACGATCCAGCTAACACTTCCAAACTCCCGAATGAGGAATTCAAATCGGTGTTCGAACAGCAAAATGCATCAATTAACTCTGATCTGCCTTCTATTAAAACACAAGATTTTGAGAGCGATTACAAACTCAGGGTGAGATCATCAGATTAAACGTTACTGGTGCACCTGCAGGTGTCTTTGGCATATTTTGTCCACATGCATACTTAAGTTGTCTAATAACAGAATGAGGCGGAGACATATACCGTTGGAAACTAATTTTCCTCCTTATAGCTTCTGCGTGAAGATGCTGCCTACGAAGCACCAATTGCGCTCGTGGATGACCTCAAACAAGGCTGGAGACCCACACACCTCAGGCCACCCATATCCATCCGAAGAATATAAGGAAACTCGGACTTAATAGAAAATCTGAATATAAGACAGTGTCAATCTGTTCCATTCTTCGAATTCTACAAGCGATGTGTGTTTCTTCCGACGGACTTTTTAATTTTTACTTTAGAAAACCATATGTGTATTTTTGCAAGTCTGTTGAGTGATGTGGCATTTTCCATGTCCGTTAAAAAAGAGGGAGACAACTTTATCTCAGGTAGTTTGATGGCATCGGACTGTGTGGTGTATATGCATCGTCGTTGATAAAGTGAACTCGGCAGAAAGGAGTACTTAAGTGTGAATACCCGGTTACTTTTCCGTTTTCGCATACTCTCCGAGTAGCTAAACAGGCTTAAATAAAAATGTATCAGAGGCATGCCAATGTAATCAAAATGGCATTCCAACTCGCGTCTCAAGTTGTGTCCTAGAGTGCGCTAACTTATAAAGGCATCCATATCGTACTAAATACATATATAGGGGCTAGAAAATGGGCATCCTCAGAAGCATAAGTTGGTCGAAAGAGTTCTTTGGAAAGCTGTGGAAACTTTATTGTGTATTTATCAATGTATTCCCACTTTTCTGACGAGAACCTGGTGAGCCAGTGTCAAATATTCACAATGAAGTTTTTCTCGTTTCCCAAAATACTTCTTCGACCGAAAAATATCAATGGAATTGATCCGAAAGTGTAAGTGAATGACCGTTTCTGGCTTTTTAGGTGTCATCAGCCAGTCATACTCAGTCTCAAGGGTCGGAACCCTGAGATACGACCTAAGACTTATGGTCAATGAATTTGCCACTTTATCACCGCACCAAGGGCTCCTTGCTGTGTCAGTTCAGATTGGGCAGATGCTGAATATAGGAGCATCGCCGATCTGGTAATATAATAATAAGGCTCCCATATAGTCATCAATTTCCCGATGTATATTAACAAAGCAACGAACCCGTAGTGCAGTTGCCGAGTGGTTAACTTAAGGATCACAGGTTTTGGGTTCGGATCTCGGCGGTTTCGCCCCTTGAGATTGGGTATGACTAGCTGATGTTGGCTAACAAGCCAGAAATAACCATTCCGGCCTCTTTATGCTTTGTCGATTCAAATCCATTTTATTCCGATAACCGCTTTTTGACTGTCTGAATGAGCTGCAATTTGAGGTCCAGGACGAAAACGGAACTTAATGACTGCAGTAATTTGCCCATATATCAAGTTATGCTTAATATTTGGAGTTGGGCACTTTCCAAAGTGCATCTTACGGCAAAGAAATGCGTACTCATTTAGGAGTTGGCAAAAAGCCATCTAGAGGAAAAAATACTTATACAAGCCTGCTTCCTGACTCCTCCTCGTTCTTTTAAAACTCAATGCAAAAACCATCTAAGTGAACGCTAAATCAGAAAAACAGTCGGCGAGCATATGTAAACCTACGATAAATTCTCATGTAGCCAATATAATTTTATGACAACGGATTCAAGGGTAAAACATGCGGTCTAGTAGGTTAAACATTTCATACAAGTAACTGATGGTAACCCGGGGTGGGGAGACGTTAGTGGGGCCGGTCCAAGCAAACGGTCGCTGGCCCAGGGACAGTTTGGTGGGACCTCCTTTATCATCCGAACTGTTTTATGGTTGGGATCGCTTAGGTGCTCCTACGCCGATAGAACAGAAGCCGCCTACATTTTTGACCAGGGCGACCACCCGGTATGAATTTCCGCTTTCAGTGACTTTGTTATTTCATTAAGTGGGCCAACATTTAGGCCGCATTACTCTTGACTTTTAAACAGGCACAGTTGTGTAGATTGACATTTTTGAGTAATAATACCATTGGTATGCAAGTCCAAAACATAAAGCTTAATTTACTTTGTTTAGGAAAGCGCAAAAGCAGCATAATCACAATAATCGCTGCACCGGATTAACTTTAAGATTGAAGAACATAGTAAGCCTGTCTAAACAGAACGTCGTGTTTCCAAATATGTACAAGTAGAAGTACGTTTACAACTATTCTGTTAATGTCGTTGGCACTTAAATAACCTTCAGTACAGTTAGTGTGATGTAAAATGTGGTCGTCAGCAAGCAGCCTACAGTTAGAACGTTGATCCTAGCACGGTATAATTGTATTCATTTTCAACTGCTTGCAATGTGGTTAACTAAGGCAAAAAGATCTTCGCTGGATTTTGCTGATAGGCAGCTCACAAGAATGAGCCTTTCCATAAGGTCAACTGTTGACTGTCCGGTCAGTTAATAAGATACTTGAATAGAAATTAAGAGCTCTATTTTAGCAAGCATATATTTCGGCATTTCATCATCGGACTTGTACTATCGCATCGATGGTGCAAATAGGAGACTTAAAAAGGGTTAATAAATGTCGCATAGTTAAAACTCATTGTTTTCACACTGTCCACATGGCCAGCTAGACATGTAGAGTCTGTAAGTATTGGTCCTGGGTCGCGAGCGCGTAGCGAAAATGATTGACACGTGCACGGAGTGATCAGCTGTCAGTAGAGTGTGAGGGTGATATGCGATCGCCTCCTGACCTCAGCGTCAACCACAGGAGCTATACTGTCTGGATTAGCGTCTTCTTACAGCATAAAACTGAATTATCTAGTCGTATAGCCACTGTCAGGGCCGTTGCTAGCGGATATTGACGCTGACCATTAGAGGAGTTTGTCCGGTAGACAACTTGAATGATTAAGTTGATTTTGGCAGATTTGGTTAATTTAGTTGACCCAATTATGAAAAAACTCGAGTCGTTCGGCGGGAATGCCA